ATTCCAGCCATACCGCAGAGTTTCAGTTCTCCTTTTCATATTTAACCGTTGACTTTCGCTGGTCAAACTGAGGGACAATGACCCACCCTCACCCCGCACAGAGAGCATTGCACCCACGCACAGACATGCTGATGTTGCCCTTCTGCCACCTGCTAGAGATAACAGACATTACCACACTGCTGGCGTTAACGATTGTTTACCTGGTCAATACATCAGTACAAGCCTGTGCCTGTCTCTGTCCTACAATACCTCAATTCCACTTAATGTTTAACTTCCAGTTCTATCAGGATACAAGAAAGGTGTTTCCCACACTGACAATCCAGCACCCTTTAGCTGCAGGAAGTCACATTGTGATATAATACACCTACTGTCTATCTACCTCTATCAGCAACCTTCATTTATAGAAGCAGAGAGAGCCACAGCACTACTGACACCTCAGATTCTTCTCAATTAAACTGGCAATGAGGCTTTTTATGGATGTGAGCATTTCCTCGATTAAATTTTGCGATTTGAGTTTTGCTCGATTCATAAATAAATTAATAAATTGTGACTTCCTGTTAATTTGTAATCCAGGCGTAAAGGTGTTAGCAAATACTTCAAATCAATCATTCTTTTTCAAAAAGTACTGGTGCTTGTGTGGTTGAATGCTACTAGTAAGCTGTTCTCTAAATTGAATTACTATTTAACATATAACATAAAAATCGACAACTTGATTGTCTAGAATTAGCAGGGCTTAAAAACTGCAAGACACTGGAACTCTTTTCACAAAGAGAGGGGTCCGATAACTGTATTTATGTAACAGAATGTTTAATTCAAATCTGTTTAAAATAGTTTTAAGAAGCAATTAACATGGTAAAATATAGCACACTGATTTATAAGGTTGTTACTACAAAGCGTGTGTGGCCTTTCACATGGGGTACGGATCACTCTGCATAATTAAGGATAGTTAAATTGGTTCACAGAACTTCAAAAGCCCAATTAGGTGACTAAAGCCTCAGGTGGAGTTTTACAGGGATATTATAAACACTCAAGAGTTTTACATTTAATAGTACAATCTCCAACTTTCTCTTGGTTGAAAACTCCAGAGTGGAGACTCCAAGGAATTAGGAGAATTCGCTGATACAAAAATGTTTTGTTGGTTCTTTATTCAGAGGAATATGAATTCATTTATTTAGAGGAATAGGTCTGCCCCTTCCATTAGATTTAGAAGAAATGAAAGGAAAAGCGCAAAATGAGATTAATACCAGCATTAACCTCCTACTAACAGGTTGCAAGTAGTGGTTATTTCATTTGAGCAGGTGCAGAGTAATTTACAAACTCAAATAACATGAAGATGTGTGCCACCACAGCAGTGAAGTCATTTATACCAAGCAGTGAAGGAGGGGGAAAGGAGTTCTGGCTGGGGAACTGTTCTGATCTGGTGAGAAACTGAATCCATGATTGGGCTGTGCCTGTCAGAGGGGGAGTCTGGAGTACAGGATCTTTACCTTTCCCACTGATGCCTTGAATGCCTGCTTGATGAGCTGCCTCTGGGCGATTGTTCGTTTGGCCAGAACTTTGATGATGGCTTCTTCATCAGTACCTGAGGACAACAAACCAATTTACAGCAACGCAACTCTGACGACATCAGCTGCTTTTAGTGCTCCCGTACTGAACCTTATGTCATCCAGCCACTGAAACAATATCCGCAGATTCAAGTCTGAGCTATACATACAAATAATGGGATGCCTACGCCAGCACAGGGTGAGTACAGGGCATGTGACTCTTCACACTCTCCATGAGGGAGCCATTGTCCAACAACACAGACAATGTGAACCCATCTTCTAGCACAGAGCCTCCCAGTTTCAATGTGTTGTCTGTTGCAAATACTACTCTTACTAAAATCAGGTTGGGGCAAATAGTCTTCATTTACTTGCATTAACTTCATCTGCACTCCAAAACATCCTCCAAGGAAGTTCATATTTGCCCTGATACATTTTTACTTTTAATAGCAAATCAGTGTAAACAGATAGCAAGACAGTCAAAAATAAACACTGGCACAATTAGATTTACTTCTTATCTTTTTTCCCCTCGTTCATTACTATTGCGTGCCTTCTGTCGAATCTTTAATAAACTGCAGTATGGTCAACCCTATTTTTTTGGCTATCTGTGCAATCCAGGTGGTGACAGGAGGTCACACTGCAAATCTGGACCAGCGATTCTGTTGACCAGGGCAGTGCCCCCCAGTAGCCCTCCAACCAAGGCACAGGGCAAAAGAGCAGGGCACAGGAGCAGTTCGCACACGCTGATCACTGCTCAGCAGTCTCATTGCCTTCCCACAACCTCCTGGCTCTCACTGGTCAGTCCCCCACAGCTCCCCCTCCTCCCCGGTCACTCACCTGCGCCCTTCATGGCGGCTCTCAGGTTCTGGGCATCCTGCTCTGCGTTGAACCCCGACGCCTCGGTCACTGTACCCCGTGAGCCGATCTGGAAGGTGTAGGGTTGAATGAGGTCACCGCGCCAGTACAGTGAAGGTTTGAAATGAGTTTTAATTGGTTATGGAAAAGACCATCTTTCTCAGTGACCATAAATGTCAGGTTAGAGAAGTCTTTTTTAGCATAGATTTAGGACGAACATTTAGGTTCAACATAAAGATATACAATATACAGCTCCCAGCTGGATGATGTGACAGCATGTAACTCATCTCCTTGCAACAATTCTTGGCAATACCTGGTTGAGACTAAAGAAGAAACATGACAGTTCTTCTATCTGTCGTCTGATAGTGTGGTGATGTTTGGGTACAATGGTTAAAATGAGTCCATTCCCTTTGGATTCCACCTCTGCTTTAGGAAGACCAATGTAAGTCACCTGGTGACACGGCCCAGGCATGGACCAGTGACCTCAGGGCTACAGGGCTCTCGGCTCAAATGGTATAGGCTCAGCTCATCAAGACCGTAGAACTCCAAACTCGTGAATAGCTGGTTGAACTGTGAGATGAATTTCATCTTCACTCCATTCTGTATTCTGAATAAGGCACATTAATTTTGTATAAATAAGAACAGAACATGGTAGTACAATTATACATTGCCTAAATTACAGAGCAATAAAAGACTTAGGCAACTATTATTATCCTGTAACAATCTATAATTATATGTTGGTGGAAAATGGTTGTCTGGGAGCAGAGGAAGGAATTCTGGGTACTAGACTGAATTTTATTAGGAGCCTATGTATTCTGTCACAGGTATAGTCTGTGGGCATAAAATTGAACTTAAATATCATTCAGCACACAAGATTCCTTTGTGCTACATTACAAATGTAGGACAATACTGACAGGCTTGTTCCAAGGCAGTATCTGTAGGAAAATCTTAGAATGTTCTACAGCAGAGTACAGAGCAATGAAAAAGTCTGTAAAGGCAAAACTAAACAAATTTTCATCTTACATTTCAAACTGCGCATGCTACTGAGGTTTCCAGAACTTTCCATGTATTGTAACTGTCCAAACAAAGTTTCAGTTTCTGTAGACTAATCAAAGGTTTCTATTTTCTTTCCTGTTGTAGTGTTTGTTGTTGAAATCGATACAAAAAAAATCACTAAGCAAATTACTTAATTAGAGGTCATGGCTTCAGGAAAAACCTTATTGGTACTGTGAATGTAGCCATAAAAGTAAGGTGTTTCGAAAGCAAATGTACTGTATATTTTGACAGTTCATGCATATTTTATGGTATGCCTGTTTGTATGAATGCCAGTTAAAGACTTTACTAAAGAGTGACTAACATTTCATAAAAAATTCTGTATCTTCACTGCCTAGGTTTTTCATTTTTAATAAACTGGATTTCATTTCCCAGTATTCAATTAAAAATAAGGGGTAGGAAGAAACACGTCTCTTTATCTCAACTTCTCATTTGATGCTGCACAAATAAAAATTCTCTCCAGCACTTTCTAAAAAAAATAAATTAGTAGAAATAGCAAGCCTTTTTCGGAATTCAGAGAACTTTTGGTCAAAACACCCCTCCTTTAAAATGACTGCCGTTAAATGAAAGTCTTCCGAAAGCAAGGATTTTGTGGGACAGTATCAGTCTCTTTGCACATAATCGACACAGACATGGACTTTGGACTTACCGCTGCCATGGTAACAGGATAGAGTCTGCCTCAGAGGTGGAGGAGATGGAGGAGATACCTGGGTGAGCAAACAAAACAGTCATTATAAAACTGAGTGTCTGGACAATGCAGCCCTGTCTGTGATGCACCCAGGGGCCAGGGGCAAAGGTCATTCACCGTGTACGGTCATTCTACACTCCACACGAGTCTACAACAGTCACACCATGGCACGCTAAGGATCAACCCTGTCCAGCCACACACTAAACCTGTAAAACTGCAGCTCCTTTAGATACCAAGAGAGCCGAGATGTTCTACAAGACAGCCTCTTTCCCCTCCTCATTCACTCATTCCTTCTTACAAAGTGATGCTCTAGTTACTGAAAAACTAGGCAACATTTACCCAATCAAAGCATCATAAGAGTTTAGTTAAGCCAGTTATAATCCAAGTGAGCACTGTCCAGTGGTAACAATACGTCCAGAGACTCTGCCATTTGCTTTTCACTTACTGTAAATATGGATACAAAAAAAAATAAGACTCCCGCACAGACTTATTGCAAAGTTGTTGGAACTGAGGTGGTCTTTTGTGTCTGGACTGCAGGTGAAAACCGGTGTCGGATTGTGAGAGCCGTGGTCAGTGATCCCTTGGGTGATTTCAGGAAGGAGACGGCTATTCCCGTCAGTCTGGTTTAATGTTTTCACGGTAGTAAAGGGTGGAAGGGCACTATTTGCCTCAATGTACGCACATCTACTCTCTACCCAATATAAAAATTCTCTGCTCATCCTTGAAACAGCTTCACTCACTCTGTGTGGTCTTTATCTTCAATGTTGCAAAGCACATGCATGGAATCAGAAGCTTTTCGACTTCTCTCTCCTTAAATGAACCGTGGGGTTATGCTGGTTATACTGAGGGTCATCAAATGAGAAACACAATGTGTTTCATCAGAGCAGACAAGACAGTACCAGCATGAATATAACCATTTCCTTGGACATGTCTAATTTACTGACCATACCCCCAACCCCAAGATGGCGATCAGAGCTATGCCAAAGTTGTATTGGTACAGGTCACAGGGGGACCAAAGTTATAGTAGAGCAACAGTTTAGGAGGATACGATTACTTTGGTATTACATACAATAGCCACTGTGTTTGATAAGGTATGGTGTCACTTTTTCTTCTCTTTCTCTTTTGTGCATACTTCCCTTTCCTTTTCAGCTACTCCTTCCACCTTTGTGCAAACTATACAGCAGACAGTGATCCTCTTGAGAGTGAGTGACACTCTTTGACTAGATGCCCATACATTACCACACAATAAGGGGTGACATGGGTGAAGGTGCCAGGCTGGTGAGGACTGGAGCTGGGGTAGAGGGACAGAATGAAGCAAAGGAGAGAGGAATGAAAGACACAGGTCTGTGCCACCCGACAACCTGTAATACACACACAGTCCTCAAGCAGCCCTGCTTGTTTACTCCTGGACATTCCTGTCATCGATTCAGAGAACGGTAAGCTCCTGAAAATGGGGCTGGTAGGCCAAAAAGTGTTTAAAAAGCCTGTTGTGGGCAAGGCACAGGCACTTTTTTCTTCACCCCAGGTTCCCAGGGCAAGGGAAGCCCTCTCTGTGTCACTACAGCAGAATGGAACACTTGATTCAGAAGCAACAGGCCAAAGGAAGGCAGCAGCAACACAACTGAGGTACTGCGCCTGGACTGGTTTTCCACCCTTTTTCCTGGCGCCTCAGATGGGACAGAGGCAGCGGAAACTGACTAATAAAGCACACAGCCATCTGCTTGGGTTGGGAGGAATCCCGAGTTTCTTCTGGCCCTGAAATGGTTGAGGAACTGTTTGTAAGAAAGTGTTTTTTTTTTCCCCCCAGCTGTGCTGGGTTTACATTTCTTCTTCTTGGACAGGAAAAGAAATCCCTCTTTAGGAACACAAACATTTCTGGTGTAGGTCCTATCAGCAATTAAAGGAAAGCTGGCTATACTCTATTCATTGAAGAGACTGAACTGTGCAGTTCTTTTTTCCCCTTCTTCCCAACATTAAGCATTGGTTTGAACTGTGGCTTGAGCTGGAAAATCTCTTATGCGCTGTCTTTTTTTTCCTGTTTAAGTGGTCCACGCTACCCTCTTGAAGATTAAAATCTCCAGTATTGAATCTACCCGTCGTGTGCTGGTGTGTGGATGCACTGGTGGCCTTCGGGTGTTCAACTACTTGTATGAGAGAAGGGTCCTAGCACCTTTAAAATCCTTAACAGCTAACTGTGGTGCCTGAGACTCAATGCACGTCTGCACTGTGCACTTTTTGCATGGTCTACCTTGTTCTTTTTTCCCTACTACATATTTATTATTTTCCACAACATATTTATAGTCCTGGTTGTATGGTTTCTAATGGACTGTCTACATTGTGTGGTGTTGTCTGTTGTACTGTGTTGTCTGCTGTACAGTTATGTCCCGAGTGATCAGCGCAAATAAGAATTCCAATGTACATGTGGCAATAAACTCCTCTACTCTGCTTAAAATTGCTAGGTGGTGTAGTCGGCTACATTTCCTGCACGTTGCCACTATTGTGATACTCGGCCTAGCACTTGATTCATTCATACAGTGCAATTATAAATGACCAGAGAGAATACGTAAAAAAGCAAATCATTTCAGATGACACATACTACATGCGAGATTTCTGGAATTCTGTGCCTTTTGTTTCTCTTTGCTGAAAGGAACTGCTAATCTTTCAAGAGACCCAATTAAACAACAGTCTTTAAAATGATCACCTAGCGGACACCATCACCCAAATCATGGTTAAAATGGATTCACGGGACCCAGCTGAAGAGTGACCCAGGAACCGTGACCGTCAGTGGCATTTAGTCTCCCCCTTTAAAAACAACTCACATCACCCATTTAAGACACTAGAGAGTAATTGGTCTCAATGACAATTAGAGGCTGAAGGTCAGCATAGTGCAGTTTTGCTCCGCTTACTGCATCTTACTGTAAGATCAGCTTACATTTTCACTTCCAATTAATTAAGCAGTGAGTCTCCCAGTTTGTGATGACACTGGCACAGAGATCCACTGTGATCAAGAGATACACAGGCCACATTGTATTTTAGGGCATGGCATCTGTAAATAACCACACTGTCCAAGATTACCTGGGTCTGTCAATGACTGGGTTCTACATTTAAATGGGACTTAACCAGACACCACATTGTGAAATGCATCTCGCTTGCTTTGCTGGAACAAGAGACAAGAATGTTGACTCGGATACACATTTCTACAAGGGGTAGACAATTACTGAAGGTCCACAGAGGCCATGTACAATCAAAAACAACAGGAGCTAGAATCCCACAAATCCATGAATTATACAGTGAAAATGCAATGACAAAATAAAACATTGCCAAGGCTCCAGGATGAGGTGCCAGCAGTACAGATATGTCTATCAGTTTATCCACTTATTAGACACTAGTAACAGGCTTAATCTTTGCAAGTTAAATTTTCACTGTCTCTTTAATTACTCAAACAAGCATATGGTCAGGTCTAGCCAGTCCTTTCTCTGTTCATTCACTGTGCATTATGTAGTAATGGGTATCACATGTACGAATAATAAAAGAGCAGGTTTTCAACAAAAAAGAGATTGTATTCTGTGGTTTAGTTCTACGCTGTGGCAGTTAAGGAATAGAAGTGTTTGCATTAATTAATTTAATTTAACTATCAAAGCAATTTCTCTCTTCTCCAATGAATATGCTGTGTAGTGAGGCCGTTTGAGCATACATAGAGAACACACACATCCTTTGGTATGATAAGAGCGCCATAATCAATTGAATTTATCTCATTTCCTTCCTTTCAGTTTTTAAAGAGGTTTACAACAGGCAATTCTGCTGAAGCTAACTTGTGAATGCCAAGCCAAATTAATAGTAGTCATTAAAAATGCTACAAATATGATCAATAGCAAATACTTAACAAAAGGGAAAGAGAAAAAGTGATGTCAATCACGCTTTTTTATCGCAGAAAAATATAACAAGGGAGTCCTTTAATTGTCATTTTAAATGAGATTCAGGAATAAAACTGGTCAAAACGGATCGGTGAGTGGGGGCAAAGTCACATGCTACACGTATAGGACACTAAGGCCGTGTCTAAATACGCACACTTGCTGTCTTGCGTCCTTCGTATGTCTGTTCTCGCTCAAGTCTGGAAGGGCTCAGGGTGTCGCATTTCTAAATGTGATGTTTCACAGGGGTGCTCACGACCGTCCCCAATGCGCCCTTCTCTGAAGCCCGCATCAGAACGGGCTCCGCAGCAAGGAACTACCCACAAGTCTTTGCGGAATCGTGACGTTTCATGTCGTAGCCTATCAAAGCGGAGAGAAGTTGCCATGGAGAATATGATATTCACGTATAAGTAAAATTGAGCTTTGTACAGTTTTAAAATGTATTAGGTCACTGTAGATTCATAATGTATATATTCTAGCAACGACGTTTTGACATAAAGCTTTTAGTTTAACACCCAATTTGAAGTGATGAAGATTCGTTTAACTGCGGTGTATTTTGTACAAGGAATATTTAATAATACAAAGCTTTTAGGTATTGTCAAGTTTACCTTATTTAGTTTATTTTGAACGAACGTGGATGAGCGCGTTACGTTTCCCGTACTGTCATTTTTGTACTGGGACAGACAACTGTGCCAGGTTCTCCTTAGTTTACTTCGACCGTTTTGAGAAGTGCCCTGCTCAACATGAATGAACCCACGGGTCACGACGTCTGTGCTGGGATAGGTCAAGCTGCGAGCCGATAATTAAACATTCTTTTTTTTTTTAATTATCTGCCGACCTGCACTTAGCCACTGGAAAATCGACATCAACAACAGAAGATTTTGATTCTGAACTCTGTAACCAGCAAGCGACCCCAAACGGGGGGGTCTCCCATTACAATTGTTATAACGACGCGCCCTCGAATACTCACGCAGATGAAGTCCACATGTGCCCCACGTCACAGAAGTGTGGACTTGGAGGAAGGGCTTAGGGCGCAGAGCGAGAACTGGGACACGGCCATTGTGTCTAGACAACTTTTCAAAATCAACCCAGCATTTTCTTTTCTAACTTTACCATAAAAAACAAGTATACAGATAAGAAAGGGGACGTTGAAAGCTACAAAATGAGAACCGATTTCAACATGACATCGTAGGAACTAGTTCGGAAACACTGCAGTGCTCACTCTCTCTACCCTTTACTTTCTGTGGTCGTTTTTAACAGTGGAAAACTATTTAATGTACTGTAAGAGTTCAAATAAAGGTTGCAGAAATATGGCACAAGCCATCCAGCAATGGGTCATTTCCATAATTACCCCTGAATTAATACCTAACTAACCACCTGATCCATGTTGAAAGTATTCATTCCACTCCTGTGCTTAACTTCTTCATAAGAGATACAGTACAAAGACACCCCAGACATGCAGGATTGTAGAGGCTTGGAGCTCTGCAGAAACTGGACACTTTAGATTTAGTGCTCAGTTTATTCATTTCTGTCTTTCAGTTTCATAGCAACTTCACAATGAATTCCATTATTAACAAACTGCTTTCTTGGCGAATTTTACATCCCATCCACAGGTCTAGAGCAAGTGAATGAACAAGCAAAAAACAAAAATCTGGATTTGGAATTAATTAAGTAGAATGCTCCACCTTTTCAAAATGTGGTTTATAACCCCTTCAGATCTCCTTGCTTAGTTTCCAATATCTGTAACAATAGAGACTTCTCCCACATGAAATGCAAATGATGGTGGATTTCACAGCATAGCACAAAGGAGAGTCTTTCATTCAAATCTGCGCTGCATCCAATCCTTGGAAATTTTAAAATCTGGGACTTGAATTGTTGGTATGGATGTCATGAGTGCAGTTTGCTCACAATCTGCAGTACTTAAATCACTAGTATCCGACAAGCTGAGAAAAGTCGTTAAATTTATTGGTCCAATTAAAGCAATAGTTAGGTTTTAAAGAAGTAAACTACAGTGCTTCCCCATTCCTGGTGCTTGTGACCCATTCCTGCTGGAAGTTCCAACCCATCTACAGCCAGAGACAGTAAGAGATGAACCTGGTGCTTGCAGTTATAGTAAGAAAGGAGGTTAATATTAAGCAAGTAAAATGTAGGTTTTTCTTTACTTACCACTACTGTCCCAGAAGGATTTAAAAATAAGCCTGTTTGATTTTACTTAAACAGCCATGTCTCATTTCTATTGTCCTTTTAAAATAAACAGCTCCCCTATAATACAAACATATACTGTAGGGAAGTCCGATAGTGTTAACCAAGTGAACAAAAAAATGACTATGTGCCAACAAGATTGTGCACTACTTGTAGGTGTAATAGAGCAAATGTTTTCACCAAAAGGGATGTTTTAATACACATTCCTTGTTTTTAAGTTATCAGCTGTGTCAAAGAATGAAAGCATTTGTTACAGCTCGCTATCAGTTTTAGTCTTGATTTACTAGTGACATCAAGATCAGATCAGTTCCAGACTGAAAAAATATGATCTGCTAGGAAACACAACACCAGTGTGTCATTCCAGCTCAGCTTTCTATTGAAATGAAGTCTGATTAATTATGATAATCATTTTCCTCTATAGAAGTCCTGTTAAATTATACGTTATGTTTTAGTGAAATCTCTAGCACTGAAAAAGTCCAAACAATGTAATCATTCCAATTGAATTAGCAGCTTAACAAAGGGCTCAGTTAAGTGAAGAGCTGGATCAAAAACCAGGAGAAATTGTCACCAAAGGCCAGATCTGGAATATCCCTCTTTACCATAGCAGCTTTAACTTCAGATCTCTAATTACACCAAGCAAAACCCATGATCAATAACTTATGATTCTGCATCCATACTAGCTATCAGTGTTAAAATGAAGAGGACTTTGCAGAGAACAGCTCCGAGTTACAAAACTGGACATTTTAATCACCATAAGTGAATTGCATGCAGGGTTTTTCTTTATATGTGGTAGAATCATAATCCTCACAACTTATCTGACTGTATAAGATAACTCATGCTCACAAACTATCTTAGAAGTTATCTTTGCATAAATCTAGTTTCAGAATGAAGAGGTCTGAGTGGGGGATGGACTGAGGGAGATATCAGGTAGGGTGATCCATAAGTAATAAATAATGCACGATCGCAGCACACTGCATCAGTGGTTCTAAATTCTGCCCTGAGGTACCCCCGTGTCTGCTGGTGTTTTTTCCCCCCAACAAAGCTCTCCCTCACAGATACTAATTGACACCCATTAAAAAAAAGGACTTATTTCTTAATGAGACATAATTCAAATTATTGTACCTAGAAACAAGTGTAAACCGTTGCCATAACTTGTATCGGTTAAAATTCTGAAACTATTCGCCATCGGACTGAATCGGACTGATACACGCGCTTTCATTCACTCGCCATAATTCACTGCAACAGGCGACGGTTACTTTCGCCCTGCGTCGCTCTAACTTTAAAAACTACACCAGGCCTGCGTGACTACACACCCTCCGCGATCTGTATGTTACTTAGCAGCAGCGGAGAGTTTCATCAAAGCATCTAAAGCCCCTAATGGAATGGCCAGAAATAAAAATAAAGGGCAACTTTTTTGATCTTCACCGGCAAATTGAATTAAAAAAAAATCAAAATGGCACACCGCGGTGGTTCTTAGACTTTAAAAAGCAAACAAAGTGTCACAATACAATGATGATAACGAAGTATAACAAAACTGGGATTATTTGGTAATAACGTTTTCTGGAGGACAAGGTCCTTAAGATAAGAAACCGTGCGACCACAAACTTCGAATTCGTGGCCAAGCGCATTTGTCTTTTTTTCTCCTTCTCTGGAGAACTAAACAAACCCGCCCTTCTTGACAGCCTTCAGCGACCAATACACACAACTTACTCGTACTGCGAGTTTGAGTTGAAACCCGAAAGTGAAAACAACAGACGTCGCCGTTGATTAAGCGCAGGTGTTGCATTGATCCGAATTGTTATCCGTGTATAAACATACGTAAAAGTGACCGTTCGTATCCTGTTTCCTCTACTTTCGATTTATTCCGCCCCTTGATAGGTTACTCGATGATGTTCTTCCTTTCGGGTGCACGGTCTCTATTTGAATCCTGTTTTTTTTTATTTTGTTAGCTCTTAAACATACACAGCTGCCATCTCGTAAGCACTCACCTGTCAGTCTTGGGTCGCTTACGACAGTGTCAAGAGGCTGCAATCTTGGAGCTCCCAAATTTGAAGGATAGGAGTGTGTTCAGGGTTTTATGGGCGAGGACAGAAATCTGGGCGGTCCGCAAATTTGAGTCTCGTGTTTCGGCTGTTGAGTAAAACGGAAGTCCTGTACATCCCAACCACATTGCAGAAACCTCAGAAACTACATCGGTAGTTGTACCTCCCTACCGGAGCCTGTGCGTTCTCGGGATAGGCCCCAACCTCTCCACGACTCTGAATCGGATAAAGCGGTCAGAAATCGGGTGGCTGGATGTGGCTTGTTGTGGAAGAGCCTGTTACAGTATATATACAACCATACCCATAACTCATACTCTTTTTCATAAAGCATTTTGTCAGGCCGACTTTAATGTAAAGCTGCTGTTTAGGGAACAATGTTCACCACTTTAATGTTAACGTCCCCGGAGCCTTGTGAACACCACAATAATAAACCTAAGCAAACCGGTTGGATGGAGCCACTTTCGTCAAGCACTTTTGTTTTTTAAGACCACGGTAATGGAAAAGCAGAGTTGCGAGCATTTTGATAGCAGCTGTTTTATACCAGTGAATATATTTGTGATGATCACTGTAATAGTTCATATGCGCCAATGGTAATCTAGTAGATTGAGCAGTTTTGACGTTTGTCAGCCGATGAAGAAAATTGTTTCAAACTTTCGAAATTACCTGTTGTTTTTCCTCTCACGTAGGTGGATTAAGGTACATAATTCTGAAAAACCGCCGCGTTATCCTCAACTACCATATACACCCACAATAAACACGCTCTCCTCCATCCAGGTTTTTGGAGTATTATATGTCGGTTTTCATGTTACTAAAAGAAGGAGCTCATTTCTTTCCGTGTCTGTGTGCGCTGTACTGTGACTAGTGAGGCACAGCTGGCTCCACGTTGTGCTCATCACATCAGGCTTGGCAGTCGCGCCGCACCCTAAATGACACGGCCCTCCCTCCATCGCACAGTTCCAAAATAAGTTTCGGGATGGTGACGTCACCCCCCCCCCGTAATCATTCTTGCCCTCTGGAAAATATACGTTTGTATGACTGGCAATGTATACCCTACACTAAAAATAGTACAAAGATTTCTCTAGAATGTCACACCAGTTTTGGGAGCTTTGGGATATTCCCATAGCAACCTTTAAGTTACTTTCATAAATATAGGTTTCTACAAGATGAACGATTTTAGGATAGATTTATTTACTGTATATAGGGATGCTATGTAACACCCCGAAGTACTTAATGGCAGAAAAAAAACAATAGCAAGATCAAATAAAAGCTGAAAGTTACAAAAAAAGGTTAATTGCACGAATTACACATTTTTTATTATGCATTGTAATGCTATTTCATTTTTAGTTTTTTTCTACATGTGTTCCATGATTATTTTTAATTATTTGACTCTGATGTGTTGATAGCATTGTGGTTAACACTGCTGATTCACAGCTCTTGGGTCCTGGGTTTGGGTCATGACTGGGGTGCCTTCGGTGTGGAGTTTGCATGCTCTGCCTGGGTCCGTGTGGGTTTTCTCTGCGTTTTCCGTACACATTCCAAAGACAAGCTGGCATGAGCAGGTGATGTCACTCCAGACGGTATATAAGTCTCCTGGGGCAGGAGTCCTGGCCTTTGGGCGCAGTAGAATGTGGAGTAGGGAGTGGAGCAGTGTAGTTGTGACAGAAATGCCTGTAAAAGACTGTGTTTGAATCCTTGCTTGCTTTGACAGTGTCTCTGAACTGTCCCTGTGTGAGAGTGCATGTGTATGAGCCCTGCAGTGGAATGGTGTCCAGTCCAGGGGGGAGTCCTGCCTTGCTGCCTGTGCATTTGGAATACCTGAGACCCCTACAAGGAGTGAGTGGGATTCTGCTGTTGGATAGATGGACTTAAAGGCAGGACTTGAAATATATGCATTCACAAGTGCTTTATTATTATTGTTTTTATTTGCTCAGCAGGCAATTCACAATATACACAATAATACATCATACATTGTAAAATCATCCAAATTCAGTAGAATAAATAAGTAAAAATAGAAATGACAAAGAAAACAGCGAGGTAGGCACCACTTAGAATTGCAATGCCTGTGCTGCACAGAAGACAATGAAGGCAATGTCTGTGAAGAAGGGAGCAGTGTGTAGGCGAGGGATCACTGACTACAGTGAGGAAGGAAGGCCACTGAGCAGAGAGTTTCATCAGTCAGTGGTAAACATCTCCAGCAGGGCGACAGAGATCCTACAGGTAATGTCTGCACAGGTGAGACACAGAACGGAGGTCAGGGGCTGAGCACTCCTGATTTGAATGGGTGGTTCTCTCCTTCCCTGCCGAGCCGGGGGTGAGAATGCAGGGGCCCTGGAGGTGCAGGAGGGGAGAGGCGGAACAGTCTAGAGAAAAGGGCAGAGAGAACAACACGTACACTGCATAATGGTTTGGTTGGTCGCCCTATAAAAGCAAATGTGTAAATGTCCCCCAGTGTCTCTGAGAATGATTTATTAATAGAAAACTATTTCGGTCTGATGAGGATGCAAATCCCTTACACAAGGGTGTCCTTTTTGCATACTAACACAGTGACATTAAGGAAATGTAGTGAAATGAATGGATGTGTTTTTTGCAATGTACATTAGATGCACTTTAGCAGCTCCCCACCTGACAGTAGGGTGTCCCTTTATACAGTATATCTGTGATTCTATAACTGTGTATACAATGTATCAGACTTCTCAATAGTTTTCTTAAAGGTTATTCTAGATGCACAATACAGAAAGCATTATTTGCTGTAATGTTTGGGTACTTTATTGAAATTCTCCTTCTTGTATAGCACCATACCCACAATAACACGTAGAGTTGTTGACCTGGTTAATTCTGCACTTTTAAGGGAGTTTCCTTCACAGACAGGGTAAAGGAATCAAATCTCTTTTGCCTCAGAAACTATTACCGATGGACCTGCGACAAGCTTTCAGGATCCTGAAAAGTATTCCCAAAACCAGACAAGTGGATTTGAGGATCCACGAAATGCAGACCAGAGAACACAAGTGCAAAGTAAATGAGGCATTAAAGATCCAGAACAAGAGTTTTACAAAAATGTTGAGGGAGTCTGAAACAAGCCATTTGCTGAATCTGATGCCATGAATAAAACTCTTAAAATGGCATTAAAAATTAATTAAATGGGCCAAATAGCCATCTCTGCTATGCAACTTTTCTTTTGTTCTTATAAACAGGTAAATGCTTTTTCTTCATGCAGAGTGCAACAAGCAGCTTACAAAAGTAGCCCTAGGGTTTGAATATGCAAAACAAAGCAAGAAACTACCCTTAAACAAATACTGTAATAATCAGTTTCCCTGTCCCATCATGCCTAGGCTGGACACGTGCTACACTTACAGGTAGTTGATATCATTCTGTTAATAGTGATATTACTTGTGCTGTGTCAATACAGAGCTTTTTATGC